AATGATGCCCTCGTCTGTGAGTGTTTGTCAGTCCTGTTAACAAATCTTATGAACTACTGTATAGATTTTAATGAAACTCTTAAATAGTTAGAGGGTATGTATTTACAACCTCTTAGATGTTGAAGTCGACCAATATAAAAATGGCCACCATAGTAAAAACTTAGAAAACAAACCGTGGCTTTACAAATATAAAAGTTAAATTTGATCAGACTAAAAACATAATGACTATTTTATACGCTGAGTGTATGATACTGTATGTGCTTAAAATGTTTTCATTAACTATAGGAGTCAGCGCTGTTAGCAAAATATCTCATGATCGACTGGGTTACGTTTTTATGAAACTCACAAAGTATTTTTTTATGTACCTCAATGGATTAACCTTTGAAGTGAGATGATATTAAGATGGCTGCCATGACCAAGTGACCTTAAAAGACACATAAATAACTATAACCTGGTCAGTCTCAGAGGTATTGAAGTAAAGTTTGGTGTGGTAGTAGTTGAGAATCATTCACTACACACACTCTTAAGTGCTCATTGTGACAAATCTTGTAATTCTGCTTTAAACTGTGTCAAAATGCTTTTTTTTAATATTTGACCATATTGATTATGACATCAGTCATTTCTAATTATCATGTGATCTTCACTCTCAGACTGCAGGTCTGCTTGTGCTTCCTAGAGTTTCCAAAAACAGAATGGGAGGAAGATCTTTCAGTTATCAGGCTCCTCTCTTGTGGAACCAACTTCCAGTTTCTGTCTGTGAGGCTGACACATTGTCCAGTTTTAAGACTGGGCTTAAGACATTCCTTTTTCATAAATCCTATAGTTAAGGTTGGCTTGGGTTTTCTGAGCTATCCCTTAGTTCTGTTGCCATAAGTTTAGACTGCTGGAGGACAAATGGACCACATTTCCTCACTGGTGTTGTCTTTACTTGCTCTTTGTATTTTTTTTTTTATCTTAACATGTGTTGTTTGTCTTTCCTCCTATAGTAAGTACACCTGGACGTGTCATTGTGTGTCTATTTCTACTTCCTGTCCTCTCAAACCCAGCTGGTTAAAGCAGATGGCTGCTCATCCTGAGCTTGGTTCTGCTGGAGGTTTCTTCTTGTTAAAGGGAGATTTTCCTTTCCACTGTCTCCTTTGTGCTTGTTCAAGATGGGGGACTGTGATGAAATGAAGATTCAACACAATCTGCTGCTTCCTTAGATAGAGATCTTTAACTGGTAAATGGACTGTACTTATATAGCACATTTCTATCTTATTTCAAGACACTCAAAGCACTTTACATTACAATCTGTGTCCTCATTTACCCATTCATACAACACACTACTAGATCTCTACAAAGCTAATTGAACAAATCTTTCTAAAGAGACTAATCAGAGCTTTATCACATTCATACACCGATAGGACACACATCAGAGGCTATGAGGGGTTTAGTGTCTTTCCCAGGGACATTTCGACCTGTGACTGCTGGTGGATTCAAACCCCCAACTCTCGCATTGGAGGACGACTGCTCTAACCACTCAGCCACAGCCGCCCCGGCTGGCTTTTGTAATGTATGTGAATGTTTCTGTTCAGTGCCCTGAGACAACTTCTGTTGTGATTTGGTGCTATATAAATAAATTCAATTTAATTTAATTGGTAACCCTCTTGTTAATGGCTGCGGGCAACATGCAGTCTGTTCAGGAATGCTAGGCCTTTAATGTTAAACAGAATATCATCATCATCAGCAGCAGCAGCAGATGTTCGTATTGAACGTGGGTTTTTTTCCACCACATCAGGGGCTTATCTTGATCTGGATTCCAATGAACTCAAAGCTACAGTGAAACTCATAATGATCATTTTGTGTAATTAAAGTCTGTAATTAAAAGCGTAGATGAGCAGAGAAAAGCCTGAAACCTTCAGGAATCTGTTGGTTTTTATTATTTCCTGTTCTTTCTCTCCTCTGTGTCTCTGCAGGAAGCATCTCTCCTCTGATCTTTGGCCCGTATCATTACTGCCTCTGCAGCCACAAACACTCCTCATTAACAAGGTGCTGGATTCTCCTCATGTGCACACATCCCCAGCTGCAGCTGCCATTTAAGGCCTCAGCTTCCACACCACTCACTTTCTTTCAATCCCCCCCCCCCCCCCGCCAAACACACACACACAGACACACCCACCCCATACACACACATGCAAACATGCTGGTGTGACTAGAACTTGTTGGGTGCAACATAAGGCTGCAGTCTGTATTCAGATAAAAAAAACGAGTCTTGTTGTATGTTTGTTAGCAAAATATCTCTAAAATGATTGGACTAATTGTAGTGACATGCAGAAAGCAATCACTGTACATCCTCTGAACAACCGCTGTCATTTGTAGGGTTTTCAGTCTTCTCCTCCAGGTTCCTCAGTTCCAGGGTGGGGCTAGCAGCAGCTACAGCTGGAGGTTGTCTCCAGGACCACAGAAGGTTTCAGATGAGCCTCATTCCTCTGCTGGAGCATTATACTACCAACTGGTACATGTGCCTCCAGACCTTTAGTGTACTCTGTGTTAAAAGTACTTATGTTGTGTTTTTCCTTTGTGCTCAGAGACTTGCTGTTCTCTGATCCTCTTCATCATCTACCTGACGATCTAAGACCTCCTATGTGGTACTCGCCACCTCATCTTCCTCAACTGTACCTGCGCCATCCAAACATACGCCTTCTACTCTCTTGGATCTTCCCTGCTCCTTCTACTTGGACCTACCTGGTTGGAAACCCTCTGCCTCCTCTTCCTGCTGCAACAAACCAAACAAGCTGTAAAAAACCAGAAACCAATGGAAACATTTTCTGCCAAGATCTCTTAAAGGAACTAATCCATTTCCTCCATTCACAGGCTCCCTAATTCATGCATGTGTGTATGTACCTATATCTATATCTAGGGATATATATGTCTATATGTATGTATGTATATATATGTGTGTGTTTAATATATATTCACTATATTTGGGTGTAACTGGGACCTTGAGTACACAATTTTGTTCCACCTCATGTATATACATGTGTATATATATACACATATATATATATATATATATAGTAACCTACAATGTACATAAACCAATTTATTTGTATATTACGATATTTTGAGCTTGAGTTCTGTTGTTCTCTTAGTCCGTACTCTTTGTGTTCTCATACTTACTAGTTGAACTGAGTCAATATAGTCCACACAGCCAGCTACCCCCCCCCCCCCCGCCAACCCAGCAGAGCTACAACTCCATTAGTTTTACATATATGAACTGAAATTCAGCAATATATTTGCTGAGACTGATACGTTACATATTTTGCTATACTGGTATACTACATGCACGCACGCACGCACAGACACGATCTTTGTTTTCAGGATTGTCCTTGTACTTTCACACGCTTGGGATGTTATCAGCCATTAAACCGTTCATACTTTTGGGGTCAACTCTGCCCATTTGGAAAACATTTCATGAACTTCTGCATGAATTTCAGTGCAACAATCATTGTGTGTAGCTACTTCTGAAACTATTTACCTTTAGGAGCCAGCTCAAATCAAGAAGGCCGTCACAGCCAACACAAAAGTCATTTAGTCAGTTCCTCAGAAATCAAGGTCAAATTTGTGGCAGCAGAGTTGATAGTAGCAGAAATTCTCTGCTGCTCTTTGGTCAGATGTTTGATCAAACTTTGGCATAGTTTGTCTGTTAGCAAAATATCTCAGATCACTCTAAGACTTTGAGCCCGCAACCTTTTAGAATCTCACATGAAATAGTTACGTTCAAGGTTTAACTAAATCAGAACTTGATCAGTCAAACTGCAATAAACGTTGGCGGACGATCCCTTTGTGTCACCCCCCCCCCCCCCCACACACACACACACCAACACACACACGCACGCGCGCACACGCACGCACACACACCAGGTGCCCCCTGGCGCAAACAGCTGACCTGTAATAATAATGGCTGCAGTGACTGAGACAGAAGCAGCTTTTTTCCAGCTCGGACGGAGCTGATGTGGAAAGTGTCAGCTTGGACTGTGTGGGCAAATAATAAACCGGCAGGGCGCCCGTGGAGAGCAGCCACGCGCGTGCTCTGCAAACACAACTCTGCAGCCGATTAATGCATGAGTGTTAATGCCAATAAACGACGACGAGGAGGAAGAGGAGGAGGAAGAGGAGGAGGAGAGGGAGGAAGAGGAGGAGGAGGAGTGGTGCAATTTACCGATACTTGGCCGAGTTCTGACGCCAGCGCTGAAGTGATGTAAGAGGCAGAGGGAGGGAGAAAGAAGGAGGAGAGAAGAAGAAGAAGAAGAAGAAGAAGAAGAGAGGGACAGAGCAGTGAGGAGCTGCTGGGGTTCGGATCAGTTCGGAGACCCAGACTGAGAGAGCTCGTGGCCGGCGGGGATCCCAGCAGAGGTAGGCTGCTTCTTCATCCTCCCCGTCAAACATCCTCCACACATCTGGAGTCAGATACAAGCAAAGGCAGGGAGGAGGGTTCAGGGTGGAGAGTTCAGGGTGTGTGGAGGGGGGTGGGGGGGTGGGGTCGTGTTCTGAAAGCCTGAACTGATATAAAATATTCGTTAACTAATGACGTGTCTGTGACGTGATGACCACGCATAGTGAGCTTTTAACGCCCCATCTCTCCCTCTCCCTCTGCTCAGAGGAACTCCGGCAGCGCAGACTGGGTCTCCGGGAGTCAGCACCTCGGACAGCGGCACACCGAGCCTCGGCGCGCAGCGCAGCCGGAGGAGAGCGCGCGGAGCCCGGCCATCGTTCAGCTCCTCCCCCGGTCAGGACATGGAGCTCCGCTATCACCGCCCCCCCCTCCACCCCCCCATGCACCGCAGTGGGCTGTGAGAGCGTGTACCCGCAGGGGGGGTGCCCTTGAAGACCGTCTTGCTCAGAGTTGAGTTCGGTGTGCGCGCGCAGCAGGAGAACACCGCGCGGTTTCTGTCGGTTTAATCAGACTTGAAAGTGTTTTTTAATAACTAAAAGACTTAAATTATTATTTTTTTGTTACAATGGGGATAACACACTTCCTGTTGCTGCTCGTGTACCTGGACCCGCTGTGCGTCCTGGGCGCAGCCACGGCTGGGAAAAAGCCCAAACAGTCGCCCAGGAAGTCCCCCAAAGCCACGGCGGTGCCCACGGTGGTCCCTCAGAAAGCCCCGCAGCCGCCGGCGGCCAGCACCCACGACACGTGCCTGGGCTACTACGACGTGAGCGGCCAGTACGACAAGTTGTTCGAGTGCAACAACACCGACCACCGCTACTGCTGCGGCACGTGCTACCTGCGCTTCTGCTGCGAGTACAAGAAGGACCGGCTGGACCAGAAAGCCTGCAGGAACTACCAGACCCCGGACTGGGTGCAGACGGCCGCCCCCTCGCCCATCCCCACCGGGGAGCCGTACCACATGGACCAGACCAACACGGCGGTCTACATCACCTGCGGGGTCATAGCCTTCATCATCGTGCTGGGGGTGTCCGTGAAGGTGGCCTACGATAAAGCCACGGAGCCCCCCCAGGAGATGAACATACACAGGTGAGTCAGTCACAGCAAGTATACAATGCATGACTACTTTTTACTGAAAACATCATCTGAGAAGAAAAGTCCAACATTTTTATTCCAAACAGAGAAACATGAACAAATTTAGTTCAGTTTATTTCTGTAGCTCCAAGTCACAACAGAAGTCGTCTCAGAACACCGAACACACTTTAAAAGACAGTTAGTACAGTTCTGTATTAGCAGATGTTGAATCTTCACTTCCTCACAGTCTCCCGTCCTGAGCGAGCACAAAGGAGACAGTGGGAAGAAAAAACTCCCTTTAACAGGAAGGAACCTCCAGCAGAACCAGTCTCAGGACGAGCGGCCATCTGCTTCGACCGGCTGGGTTAGAGAGTGACAAAGAACCAAATTTAAAAAGAGCTGGCTTTAAAGTGGCTCTTAAGGTCACCATGGTAACGACACAACTGCATCTGTCACTCCCTGACTGCACTTTACAAGGCAGACAGAAAAACAAACTACAAGTTTGGTCTCAGAACAGTTATATTTTAAAACCTATTGATCAACAGAAGGTGGATGATCACGTGTGAGTTTTTATAATTATCTAGAAGAAATAATGTTAATAAGACCTTCCCTTCAGTGGACTGGGTGTGCTCTCGCTGCACTCAGAGAGGATTTAAAGTAATTCTTTAGAGACGCACTATGAAGGAACATATGGCGGTCTCTGTTTTGATGTACAATTTATATCTGGACTTGAAAAAGTAGAATAAGAAAAGTTGATTTGCAAAATTGTGTGAAGTTTAAACAGATCAAAAATTCCAAGTTGACTCTTCTGTACACACACAAAAAAAATTATTCTAAACCCATAAAACCTCAAATTTAATTGTGAGAAAACCATAAAACAAACTGAAATAGCAGTTCAGTCATGTATAATCTAACGTTCTGCGACCCTCTGAATATTTTTACTTTTGAGCTACTCGTTTCACCAATGTGCCATGGCTGTCCACGAGAAAAGTTCTTCTTGTTTTGTTTGCAGATTTTATCCACATTGTTAAGCAGTGGTACTAATAAAAGCCACATCACAGCATTTCCAATCCAGATGCACATTTAGATAATTTTCATTATTACCTGAAAAGCTGCAGGGAGGGAATACAAACTAAAATTGGGACCAGAATATTAATGTGGTCTTAAACGCTTTTACATTGACTCCCTTAAATAACTGCAGACTTACTGATGATTAACAGTCATGATAACTGAAGCTTAAATAAAAAAAAAAAAGAATATTTAGTGCTAAAGGGCAGGGAACTAGAAGTAGAGGTCCATATTCACGTAAGGTCCAAATCTTCAATAATAGAACTGTTGAAGGAGTGAAGCAAGTTAGTCACAAGTTTGCTTTAGTTTAGTGTTTGTTCATGACATTTATTTTTTTTGTTTGTTGTTGCACATATTTTAAGCTATGACACAGATAAGAACCAACGTTCTCTTCTGGACTCTGACTTCCCAAAGAAGAAGGATGGATGCAATAAATACACACACATATATATATATATATATATATATATATATATATATATATATATA